AGATCTTCGCAGCAACGTCGATGAGGCATATGCCGCGGTAGTTCTCGCATCTTGTCTTATCCCCCTTCTTGAGGATAGGTACAAAGATGCCTAAGTCCCAGTCATCAGGAACAACCTCGTTTCTCCACGCTCCTTCAGTCACCTCATGTAGCCAGGGCGCCAGAGTGTTGACACAGGACTTAAAGATTTCAGCGGGTATACCGTCCTCTTCGGGTGCGTTGTCGTTACGTAACTTTCGTATGGCGTCGACTAGCCATGTAATATACGGACCGCCCTTGTTTTAGCCTATCGCAGTTTAATTGGGAACCAAGTCGTGTGTGCGAGTCACCGCGCACCCACTTCTTGGACCACGGGCCGCAAGTCGTTGCTTACGACGGCCGGACTGTCGTCTTCAGATGTTGGTTGAAGTTATGGCCAGTTGCCGTCTGCGCTTCACTTAATTTTTATGTACTACCACCATTGAACTATTCAGCGTTTGCACCATATCAACACTTGTATACCCTGCAGGTTACGGAACGTGCTCGCTCCATTGTGCCTTGGGACCCATGCTACTGTGCGACCGCCAGCGAGGGTTTTGGTATGAGCCTCATGGCACGACGGAACGAGCACGTGCCGTAACGTGATCGTTGAGCGCCTATCTGTCATAATTGATACTCCCTACAGGACAACGGACCCGTGGCTCAATGGTAGTGTCAAACTACATAACTAAAGATCCCGGGTTCAAGTCTCAAGTGATCCACAATTGGGGTTAGGTATGACTGGCTGATGACGGCTAATAAGCCAGAAATGACCATTCCGGTGACCCTTGTTTCTGTCGGTACCATCTCACAATCATCAGTGTTTAGCAAACGTCGCTCGAGTTGTTTGGATGCGATGGGTCAGTCGTTCTGATCTCAGAAATCTTCGTCAGTGGGAACTTGAACCGACATAACCCTTTTTCGACTTGTCACCTCGCGAGGAGGTCTGAATGTAGACTCCACTGGCAGGTTGTGTCCGCAGGTGAAAACGAGGGAACTTGCAGTGTCGTTTGTTACTGATTATTGTCTAATATTATTGCTGCTTCACAAACAGTATGCTTTCTCCTCACCCCTCTTCCACTTTGTTTTCTCCCCCACGTACGCCATCAGATGTAGTCGATGAGGCTGCGGTCAGCCATAAATTTCATTTCTTGATTTCATCCCTCCTTAACACATCTCTGACTTTTAATAAAATTTTCCCTCTCAAATTATGCAAATGACCGCACTTTATGCTGAGTGTATATAACTGCACTCAAAATTTCATATGTACACTGAAAATACCGCCTGCCGCACCCTTCGCAGTCCCGCAGTGTAAAAACGTTTTCCCTGAACAAATACGTTACTTACAACATTTTAGTAAGATGTGCATTTAACATTTATATTGTATGTGCCGTTTTCAATAGGGTCATCAAGGTCATTGCCTATTACCCTAAAATACACTATTATTATACAGATGTCCTGGAATTGAAACCAGCCGTAACGCGAAAGCTGCGCAGGCGCACTCCCGAATCGGCGGCCTCCTGCGGGACAAAGTTCGGATATTGGGGCGACATCCTGCTATATGGTTCCTCCTGGACTCTCCCCTCTGCCTCCAAAACCCTTTCCTCTTCCGATTCCGGCGCTGGTCAATCTCAGCCCACCTCCGTAGGCACCCCGCTCAGCCCACCGCCGACTAAGGTGGGAGACTCAGAGCCGGGCGATCAGAATGCGCCCTCATCTGCTCCCCCCAGCGGTGGCGCTTGCGGCAGTAACGCCAACCTCTTTGGCAGCCTGAGCGTTAATGTGGAAGATAGCAGCCTAATGACACACCTTCTGGCCTCCCTGAATGCGGCCAGCGACAACGGCAGCGGTGGCGTGGGTGGTCTCAGCTCCGCCGGCGCATACTTCGCCTCGAGCCTGAACCAGTCCGGCTCCGCCCTCTCCAGCCTCCTCTCAGGTGGGGCAGCCAGTGCAGCCGGCGGCGGTGCGGGTGGCGGTGGCGGCACTGGCAGTGGAACTGTCGGCCTCAGCTTTCTCTCCGCTGCCGCCGCACCGGCCACCTCCGCTACCGTCCTCGGCTTCCCATCCGCCGCCGCCGCCGCTGCGGCAGCTCTGGTCGGCGCCGGTGTTGGTTGTCTTCAACCGCCCAAACGCAGGAAACAACAGACTTCACAACCGTTTACGCAGTTAACTCTTCTGTTGCCAGAAAATGACATTTACTCGGATTTGACCGCAATTCACAGGTGAGCCTTACTTCTGGTGTCGCTCGTGTCGCTTCCTGGCACGCACTGATGACGAGGATAAGCAGACGGACCGATCCGTTGTCTAGAAACCCTTGAGGACTTAGCGTTTCGTCATATTTGGCGGTAATCCTTTGCAAATTACCAACTGTTTGACTCCGGCGCAACGGTAGGATCTACGTCCTTGTTATTCTATTGTTTAATCCGACTTCGTCACCCCTGCCTTCCCCTGCGACTTGGTTGTCGCTTTTGTAAAGAGTGCGACGCTGAAAATGTGAAAGTGCAGTAGTTCGTCAATCGCTGGCGACGAATACCGCCTTTATCCCTTAGTCCCACTGACGATTTCCGTATATTTCGGGCTCAGCGGGTTCGATCGGGAATATATAATGACAACGGGCCCGTGGCCCAGTGATTAGAGGCGTGGTCTTCTAACTAACAGGTCGCGAGTTCGAGCCTCGGGTGTTCCACACTTCGGGGTTGGGTATGACTGGTTGGCGAATGCTAATAATTTGAAGCATTTTGTCCCCGGTACGAAGCTGAAGTAGGCAAGAACAGC